AAAATCCTGATTTTATTTCATTCACTCCAGTGTGGAGGAGCACACACACACACACTATGTCAGGTAGATGCACTCAGAGAGTTAACACGCTACTTACACCAATAAAACTGGGTCAGTGTCCACGGCAATCAGAGAGTTAACACACTACTTACACCAATAACTCTGGGTCAGTGTCCACAGCACTCAGAGAGCTAACACTACTTACACCAATAACTCTGGGTCAGTGTCCACAGCACTCAGAGAGCTAACACTACTTACACCAATAACTCTGGGTCAGTGTCCACAGCACTCAGAGAGCTAACACTACTTACACATAAATCATTACATAAACTTTAGTGTTGTACTTTTTGAATATATTTATAAGTAAACAAAAAAGTCAGAACACTAATACTCTTGGTTGACGTAATTTTATTTTCTGAATTACATCATAAAGTGTAAACTGTTTACGTCTACTTCAGCTAAGGTGTCGTCACGAAAAGATTAATTATGCAAATTTTAACAGAATCTAAATTTTGAAGGCTACATCATAGTTCAAGTCTTGATTTCTTGTTCGCAGATTTTTTTTCTAGGCATACGACCTTTAAACTGTTGATTCAGAATATTAAAAAAAAACAATAACACTCATATACGAGATCTTTAATGGACTACAAGTGCCTGTTGAAAGAAAAAAAAAGAATTCTACACTGAAGAAGGCCTCAGTATGGAAGCTGAAACGTTGTCTTGACAACCAGTTGCAGTCTATTTAATTTCTCAAACCTGTTATGTCTATTCTGTCTAAAGTTCCACTGAAACAATGCTCACGCATTGTAGTTCACTTTGATTCCTTCAAGAAACTCGGGACTAAGACCTGGATACCTGAAACTTTCTGAAGGAGTTTCACCTTTATCTGCCACTCTGTAGTTCGTCAGAACGTGTTTCCTGTAATGCAACTCCAACATTAGTTCATTTTCCATGACTCCTTCTTGTCCTTTTTGTTCTCGAAGTAGAACTTCCCTAAGAAGGGGAGGGAACGGAATTTCTCTTGGTAGAATTCTTTCCACCTTCGGTTCTTTGAGTTCATAGTTCAGGTAATAGCTTTCATCCTCTTTTGAAATTAAGCAAAAATCTGGTTTATAAGATGTAGTGACTTCCCTAACCCCTGGGACTTTTTTTCCTGCAAAAAAATGTTTTCAAACTAGATTCAAGCTGATTTCAGCATTTAAAGTAGACCTCGGACAAAAAACTAGGGTTAAAAATATGAATTTTTTTTACAAAAATACAGTTTAAAAATATATAAAACAAATAAATTTCAGCAACTAGTAAGTGAAACCATTAGAAATACCCAAATCTGATAGGCCTAACTACCAAAACAACTAAATCCTGGTTAATAAACCCTAGAACTAATACAGTGTAAAGAGCAATATTTAAAATCAATATAAACTTGTCTCCCTTTCTATTCGTTCTATGTAACAGTAACAAAATAGGCCTGGTAGAATTACTTGATATTACATGTAACAATAACAAAATAGGCCTAGTAGAATTACTTGATATTATATGTAACAGTAACAAAATAGGCCTGGTAGAATTACTTGATATTACATGTAACAATAACAAAATAGGCCTGGTAGAATTACTTGATATTATATGTAACAGTAACAAAATAGGCATGGTAGAATTACTTGATATTATATGTAACAGTAACAAAATAGGCCTAGTAGAATTACTTGATATTATATGTAACAGTAACAAAATAGGCATGGTAGAATTACTTGATATTATATGTAACAGTAACAAAATAGGCCTAGTAGAATTACTTGATATTATGTTATAATTAATAGTTACTAAATTGACTTGATAGACTTACCCCGGAAACATTTTTCAACCCACACTCGGCCAAACTTGTTTTCCTATGTGAATAAAGTGTGAAAATTAAAGAAAATACAACATTTAAAAAATTGTGATTTGAATTAAGTCTTTCACTACCAGAGCCTAATATATGTCCCCTTTTAGATCACCCAGAGCCTAATATATGTCCCCTTTTAGATAATCCAGAGCCTAATATATGTCCCCTTTTATATCACCCAGAGCCTAGTATATGTCCCCTTTTATATCATCCAGAGCCTAGTATATGTCCCCTTTTATATCATCCAGAGCCTAGTATATGTCCCCTTTTATATCATCCAGAGCCTAATATATGTCCACTTTTAGATATTCCAGAGCCTAATATATGTCCACTTTTAGATAATCCAGAGCCTAATATGTCCACTTTTAGATAATCCAGAGCCTAATATATGTCCACTTTTAGATCATCCAGAGCCTAATATATGTCCACTTTTAGATAATCCAGAGCCTAATATATGTCCACTTTTAGATAATCCAGAGCCTAATATATGTCCACTTTTAGATAATCCAGAGCCTAATATATTTCCACTTTTAGATAATCCAGAGCCTAATATATGTCCCCTTTTAGATCACTGCTATACGAACTTTATAACACCACAAAGAAAAGGTAATCCCCTTTAAATCTCCCAACATTTATCAATTTCATGTTCAGACAATTAATGAAATATTAAAACAGGTCTTTTTGTTTATTATTGTGTATTTAAATATAAGTCTGGCACTGGGATGGTTACTTATTTATAAATGTGGCAGTGAAAGAGATAATACATACAGTAAATCACAAACCCCACCCGTATGCAAGTTAATAAACCAATCAAGTACAACATTTAAATGTACTTGAAGTGATATTGTAAAGGTTGTCACATCATTATTCAATAATGATGTGAATTAAATTAACCTGTCTCACTGTGATTCATGTTTGCTGTGTAGGTACATAAGTAACAGATAATAAAGAATAGCAAACTTCAGTACAGTTGGAGGTGGTTCACACGTGTTAGAGGTGGAGTTTATAAGGTGTATTATAGGTGACAAAACTAGGACATGCTTCAGAATTGCACGTTTAATTAAAATTTTCAGGGGGCTGAGAAAGATACAGTATGCTACACTTTTAGGGCTTGCTTACTTGAGGATAAGTCGGAGTTATCTTTAGGGAATATTGTGCTATCAGCAAGAAGATTAGCAGATTAGGAGTAGAAATCAAGGAAGCAAGAGAGAAAATGGACAGAGTTAGGGTAAAAAATTTTTGGGGAGGAAGAGGATTGAATGAGAGTACTGGGATCACAAGTGTACACACAAATTAAGCACAAGTTAAGCCTACAGAGGCAGCTTCGGCTAGCATTCCGGTATTGGTCTCTAATAGATCTGTACCTTTGGCTGTTGGCAATAAGGAACAAGACGATCATGACGTCTGCATAGTGAGGGGTATCCCATATGAAGTATACTGGTAAAGTTATTTGTAGTGGAGAGCATAGAAGGACTGGGACTAAAACCTTCTTGACGGGTGCTAAAGTAAAGGATGTTACAAAGCATGTTGATGCAATGTAGTTTCTGATAACAAGAAACATTCTCTTTTTTGTAATGCACGTAAGGCCAAATGATTTTGGAAACTGGAAATCAGAAGAGCTGCTCGATAAGTTTTGAGAATTCCTTCAGAGATTTAGGGAGTGAAATAGACGTGTGGTCTTTTCTGGAGTGTTCCCTTTGGATAGCTGCAGGAACTGATTACTTAACAGGATATAAGACTTGTATTACAGATTAGCAGGGATATGCTCAGAGCAATAGGTTGACTGGTCAGGATAAATTATATGCTAAAGATGGACTCCGCTTAATCAGATTAGATAATAGGATATTTGGAGAAGCTCTAAAAATATTCATTAATGATAGTTTAGACTAAACTTACATAATGGTGAGGGTGCTAAGATATTTGAAATAAATGAATCAATAGAATGACTCGGACAAAGAGGAGTGGTAATGGCAGATTTTGACACGAATGATTGATTCAAATTAAGCTTAGTTGTTATTATTCTAATGTTAAGGGTATTAGGAACAAAATGGATAAGTTCAGGGCTCCAGTCTAAATAGAAAACCAGGGGTTACAAATTAAGTCAGGCATTAAATAATGTCCAATGTGAGTATGTCCAACAGAAGCATGAGCTTCATCAGACATGATGTATGTTAAAAAAAAAATTAAACTTACTTCACTTTCATTTTTCTTAGTGAATTACACGTGTTATGAAATGATAAAATAGCCGTGATAAAATGTTTTTAAGATAAAAAGTTTCAATAGATTTATTAGTTTTATTTAAATTTTGAAATATAATATGTGTGCACTTCAACCTGAAAGGTCATACTTGTCATGGTGAGTGTATCGACATATTGTAATATTTTTTCCCTCTGCAACTTAAAATCATTTTTACAACAATTAACAATATTAATGAAACGAATAATGCACTGCAATTGATAATTAATAATTGTTATAATTTTTTGTTCAAACACTAAGTGAAGATTATCCTCAAGTCGATAATGTTCCCTATGTTAAAATGATAGACTAAACTTTTCTGATGTTCATGAAAAGTTATATTAATGATAAAAAATATAGTTCCTAAAAAACAAATATATATATTT